TTTTGTTTACTGTTGTGGGCTCCGAGGCTCGCATAGGCCGCGCACAGTCTTGGACTTGGGGGACTGACCCGCTTCGGGCCATATCCTCTCACACCAGCCAAAAAACTCTGGGCAAGATACTTAACTTGTGAGCCGCAGTTTCCTTGTACATAATGTGGGAATAAAGAAATTGACTAGGGTTGTTGTGAAGAATTGGAACCCTGGTGGCGCAGTGGTTAAGTGCTATGGCTGCTAACCAGAAAGATGGGCAGTTTGAATTCACCAGGCGCTCCTTGGAAGCTATGGGGCAGTTCTACTCCATCCTATAGGGTCGCTATGAGTCGGAATCGACTCCATGGCAACGTTTTTGGTTTTTGTTTTTGATTGTGAAGAAAGATGGAATCATTGTGAGATGCGAGAGCGACTGACCTTTATCATTCGACATTTTCTGAGAACCTGCCCGAGACTGCTGGGGCTGGGACTACAGGGTGAAGACTGCAAATGAAGTCCTTGTCATAATTAACCTGTTATTTTAATTGGGCTTTAAATGATAACTTAAGAAAATTTTTGCGTATAATCGGAACTAGGAAGAAAATGGAGCCCTGGTGGGGCGATGGTTAAGAGCTCGGCTGCTAACCAAAAAGTCGGCAGTTTGAATCCACCAACCTATTGGGCAGTTCTACTCTGTCCTATAGGGTCGCTATGAGTCAGAACCGACTCCTGGGGCATAACAACAACATGAAGAAAATAAAGCAGGCCTGAGGGGAAAGAGTTAGGTAAGCTAAACGCTTGAATGAGTCTGCTTCCAGGGCAGTTGTTATAGTTGGAGAGGCAGACATAACTTAATTATTAACGAGTGTCGAGGGCAATAATAATGGTATTTTTAAGCTACTGTGCGGTAGCAGAAGAGGAATGACCAGCTTTATCTCTTTTTTAAATCAGACACACATACATATGTAGAGGAGCCCTGGTGGTGCAGTGGTTAAGAGTTCAGCTGCTAACCAAAAGTTTGGTAGTTCAAATCCACCAGCTGCTCCTTGGAAGCTTTACTCTGTTCTACTGGATGGCAACCGATTTTATATATACATATGTATTTTTTTGGCCTGGGAGAGGGGCTGTGAGGGTGGCCCAGCAGCAAGAACAGTGTTTGAAAAAGCATAGGATGCTCTCCACTCCTTAGGTATTGATGGCACAGAACTGTAGCAGTAATACAGGTAATAGAGAGCTCCACTTGCAAACTGGATTTTACCACTAGGATGTACAACAGGCTACTCAAACTAAGATGCCATTTTTTTGGCCCCAAAACTGTGTCTTGTCTTTGTTGCTATATTTGGGAATGACCCCATCCACCCATTAAGGAACTCAAGATTTTTTTTTCTCCCTCTTACTGTCGCACGTCCAATTTGACACTATGTCCTACAGTCCCCAATTCCTAAACCAGTGCCTAGCTGCTATATAAGAATCACCTGGGGGAATTTTAAAAAACAGATCCTAGATTCCTAGACTCTATCCCCAAAAGTTCTGGATTAGTTTTCTACCGAGGGGCCTAGAATATGCATTTTTAAAATGTTCTCATCTGCATCGCCATTAATGCTACCTTTGTCCAAGTCTTCTTGGTCTGTCAATCTTCTAGATTATTGTAAGGATTTCCTAAAACCTTCCTAGCATTGCTTCTCTCCAACTCACTCTGAATTGCTGCCAGTCATCTCTGTTTCATTGTTGCAGTATCATCTTGCAACTCTGATATTGTTGTGTGCCATGGAGTCGGCCCTGTGTGAGAGAGTAGAACTGCCCAGTAGGGGTTTTTTGTTTGGCTGTGATCTTTACAGCCTGCTTCCGTAAAGATTACAGCCTTGGAAACCCTATGGGGCAGTTCTACTCTTGTCATATCTATAGGGTTGCTGTGAGTCAGAATTGACTCGATAGCAAAGCTTCACAGAAGCAGATTGCCAGGTCTTTCTCTCAGAGCAGTTGAGTGGATTCAAACCACCAACCTTTAAGTTAGCAGCCAAGTACTTGACCTTTGTGCCACCAGGGCTCCTCACTCTGATATGCTTTTTTGAAGACTTTTTCCCTTGCGGTCTCTTTCCCTTAAGTTTTATTTTGTTTAGTTTTTCCTCCATTCGGTTGGTTTCAGGCTGTCTCATGTTAGAGGCTTTCCTTGGGTGTCTGATGATTGATCCTTGATTATCTGCTCATATTTAAAAGTGGGGCATTTAAAAGCTGATTGGAAGTTCTGATTCCATGGGACAAGTTTGTGCTTGTTATCTCTTTTCCTCTGTCTTTGTTATCCCTTTTCTTTCTCCCTGAGGGTGTATGACTCTTTAAAAATTCCTTTAATGTCATTTTAAGGGAGTCTAAATTTACTTAGTAATCCAAAGTGATAAATTCAAAACCACACCAGATCAGTCATATCATTCTCCTGCTTAAGAAGCTTCAGCGGCCTCCCTTTGCCTGCCTAATATTCAGACTCCTAAGCATACAAAAAAGAGACAGTAGTTCATTATCTGGTCCATGACCCTTCCTAACCTGATTTCTCACAGCCAGGCCACTTCTCTCTTACCCCCAGCCCCAACCCCACACCTGGTACTCTAAGCTCTACCATAATGAGATGCTAGTAAATTGGCTGAGTATGTGATGCTTTTCCGGTTCCACATGTGTGCTTTGACTAGGCCTCGAGCTGAAATACTCTTCTCTGCCATGTCTGCTTGATGAACATTACTCCTCTTATGAAAATATAGCTTAACCATCACCTCCTCAATGATGCCTTTCTTCAGGCACTACATGAGAACTTACCTGCCCCTCCTTCAGCACCCCCTAACCCCATCCCATGAATCCAGCATTCTGTTGGGAGGGGCAATCTGCAATGGGCCCTAAGTGTTACTGCAGGTTCTTGGTGAGTTGCCAAGAATGCAAAGTCCTGACTGCCCTTTATCTGGGCCATTTCTCAGGGTTGTCTTTGAGGTGATCAACCTTTAGAGCTAAGGTAATGTCATCCCCAGACAAAGAGTAAGCTTATTTCTACTTAATATAAAAGTAGTGAATTCCCCAAGCTCAGTGTTCCTCTCCTGTAATGCCACCCACTGTGTGTACAGACATCCATCTAGACCCACCTCCGTCATCCCCATGGGACTTGGGGGAGACGGGGCATAGGGAACTAGTGAAAACATGAAGCTCTGGCTATTGTTTTTGCTATGAGTAATAATGCCCATTGCCTTTGACCCAGAAATCTCATGTCTATTGTCATAAAACAGTAACAGGCTACCTTATTAGCTTCTGCCCGTTGCCACTGAGTCAGTTCTGACTCATAGCGACCCTATAGGACAGAGTAGATCTGCTCCATAGGGTTTCCAAGTAGCAGCTGGTGGATTCGAACTGCCAGCCTTTTGGTTAGCAGCCAAGCTCTTAACCACTGTTACCACCAGGGCTCCTATTAGCTTGTACATAAGGTATAATCCCAGACCCTTCCCAGACTATGACATATACTTCTATCATAGCACCTGTAACGGCATTGTTTCCAAGTACCTTCACAAAAGGGATTCATGTCTTATGTATCTGTTTCCCCGAGTATCTAGCTTGCCATGGGTGGCTAAAAAAGTTTGAGACTGAGCATATTAGTTTTCTAATGCTACATAACAAATTGTCACAAACGTAACAGCTTGAAACAACAGCCATTTATTAGCTCACAGTTCTGTAACTCAGAAGTCTGGTATGGTGTCACTGGGTTCTCGTGAAAAAGTGTCAGCTGGGCTGCATTCCTGCCTGGAGCTTGAGGTCCTCTTTCATTTGGTTGTTGGCAGAATTC